TTTTTTACAAAAGAAGCCTACCACAACCTTCTTCTTATAACTCTTCTTTAATACTTTGCGCTATGTCCTCCTAGCTCTTGTTTGTTTATACCAAATTCGTAGTCATATCGTTGTGTGTACGCTGTGCACGAGGCAGTATTACTGTTCAACGGAAAAAAATTGGACTTGCAATGGTGACGCGCGAGTTGAGCGTCTTTTTGCATGTCAACTGTCGGGAGAGTGTATCGTGCATCTCCAGAATTGTTTCCATGTGAACCATCAACTTAACTGCCTTTCGATCGTTTTAAAACGTTGACTCCAGTAAATGTGAGACGCTTATTCGAAGTTGACATTTAATGATCGAAAGATAGCCACTTTGATGGTTCATATAGGAATATTGGGGGATACACTAAATGTACACGTAAACAAATATTTACGACAAACTCTTTGCTTTTCTCTTGAAACCAAATTCACATTTGCCTCCCTTTAATTCGGGCCCAGGTTCATACTAATTGGTTCTAGGACGTAAAGGCTACTGCATGACGAAGGCGCAATAGCAATATTAGGTGAGCGGGCGCGAACGCGACGCGCGCGTATCCTCACCATTGTAAATTCTGCGCCTCCTGCGCTCTGCGGCTAATGAAGCCGCGTTCGCGCCCAAGGATATTGCGCCTTCGTCATGCAGCAGCCTATGGCTTCTGTTCTTTTAGTGCTATGCTCTAACCAGCTTAATGATTTCTGGCAAAAAGTGCATGTGGGAAAACAACACTGCCGGGTGGAAATATGCCCTTATCAACCGGCCACAGCACGCAAAGCATATTCTACAAAATTCTACAGGACCACGGACTTTTTGAACTCTCCTCCTGATTTCGCAAAAAGTCCTGACCATTAAGAGCATCTTTACTTACCTATTTTTGTATTTGAGCTGTCGCTCAAGCACAAAGAAAGGCAAAGAGTAAGCTCAACTTTCACCAGTTATTCTACGAAAGATTTCGAAATTAACACATTGACGACAATGTGACCCACATGGTGGGTCATGCAATGACTGTGATTCTAGAGGTTCTATCACGCTTTATTCCTAGAAATTACTTCCGCGTTTCTTAGCTGCTTCTCAAAATCACTGAAGGGATACTGCAGATGACGGGCCTGTTTGATTTCAGCAAAAAATACTCAACTTACTGTAGATGGGACTGTCCCACAAGGCAGGTAGCTGAAAATGCACGCTGTCGTCAACGTGTTAAAGCTCCTTGTTGGTATGCGCCAAACTTCATGGTCGAAGCCTGAAACCTACCGAACTTTCGCCCGCTTACCATCCCTTCAAATTTCACGTACGCACGCCTACCTTCTCTCTCTCTCCTACTCTCTTCAACAGTCCCCCCCCCCCCACCCCTCCCCGCCTTCCCCTGCCATAAGGAAAAAGGGCAGCAACAAGCATAATGAAGAGTGAACAAAAACGTTTGATGAACATGAAAATCTGCGTGTTGAATCGCTTGGGGGTGCGCTTTGAGAATGCTGAACGCTGGACGCTTTCAGCGCTTTTGCTCGGTTTAGGATTGCTCTACCAATAAAAAGCTGCATGAGCTAGAAAATTTTTTAGATCAAATAGTATGAAATGCGAAAACTTTTCACATACAGATAGAAGTCATTGATTATCAAAAATTACCTAAGCAAGGGGTAGCAACCGTAGCTTTTCATCAATGGTAAAGCCATGGTCCCTCACTTGCATATGCACACCAGATTTACCATTTCATTGTGTTCTGATTGCAAACAAGTATCTATCCCTTTGTATGGGGCACCGCGCTGTGAGGAACGACTTTTTCGTGAATTTGCCTGGACCCCGCAAGAACGATTTCCTCTTTTTCTTCTTGTAAATAATATTTAGCTTGACCCGGTTTGACGAGTCCTAATAAGAGGCGAATTTATTATAGTTTTTCTCTTATAGGGCAAGATTAGTTAAAGGCAGCGGCTCGGCAGAATAGACCTACCTCAGTATTTGACATAGATGGATAGGAGGCCCTCGTGAACCAAAGGGCAACTCCGGCAGAAAATCTGAATTCTGCAACTCAGGGGGCGAGCCAAGCTCCGCTCCCCTTCCTCCTTTCGCTTCCCTAACACTTTGTGCGGACGAGAATGTTCGCCGCTAAAAAACGCGCCGTCACTCGTAGCTTCGTACAGCAGAATTGTTTTAGCGCTCTCTACCTCCTTACTCTGCTTCTCTCACGGCAAAGAAAAATGGCTCACTCGTCCGCGCCCGTCTCAAGGGGGGTTTTAAAAGACGGGGATTTTCCTTATTTTAGGGGAGTTCATGTCGTGATTCAGGGGGCAGGAATAGCCCCAAACCTGCCAAAGCTAAAAATCTGCCGAGCCGCTGCCTTTAAAAGGTGCTGCGTGACGAAGGCGCAATATTGGGCGCGAACGCGGCTTTATTAGCCGCAGAGCTCGTGAGGCGCAGGATTAACAACGGTAAGGATACACGAGCGTCGCGTTGCGCACGCTCAACGAGTACTACTTCTTCGCCTTCGTCATGCATATCCTTTACATAAACGATTATGCAAAATGCACAAGGCTGTACCAGGGTTGCAAAACAAATGGGAATTTTCACCACAGCGATTTGGCTCATTAGTTCGGGCTTTGAATGGAATTGAGCTTGACATCATTAAAGCAGTGAAGTAGCATGCTGCATGACCACGAGGACCAGAGAACAAAAAATGAAAACTTCTCGTGTTCGATGTGTTTGCAAATTGAGTCTATTCCAAATTACAGAGTACAGAATTTGATAGTATATCGCTACCTTACTACAGACGTTACAGAAACACTTTTTGTCCTAAAGACCTTTATATTTCATGTCAATCTTCCTAAGCTTAGCTAAACTAGATAGTCACTGCTATCTCGTTAAGCCGCACAAGTGCGTTTTTCAGACAATGATAAGTGTGCAAAGAACTATTTCTGGACATCTGCTGATCGGCTATTTGTCACCTTATCTTTTTGCCTCTTAACTTCATGTCCAGTGTATGAACATTAATCTAAGAAAGGAAGGATCCTTGGTCAGGCCTTTCAAATAAGATTTCATTCATAAAGGGCATCGAACGCTGATTCCATATCTTTCTTTCCCATTTGCGGAGCACCTTTAGTCAAGAAGTTAGGAAAGTTTTTGCGACGATTCGAAAGCGTGGAAAAAAGGAAATCATTAAAGGAAATTTACCCCTCGAATGGAAAGCGATATCGTTAAATCACTTTTGTGCAAAGAGTAACTCCTGTCTGCTATACCCATACGATACATTAGCTTATCTGCGAGTTGTACAAGATGTTACAATCAACTTTACCCTCGTAGCGCGTTCAAGTTCTCTGCTCAAACCTCATATCTCCTCACTCAGAGGTGCTCCGCAGATAAGGAGGACATACTTGGAATCTGCGATTTTGCACTGAGAAAATATGCAACTTATTTTGAAAGACAACTTTTATCGATGATTTTTTCTTCCCTTGTAAGGGAAGGAAAAAATTCTTCCCCTATAAGTTCCCTCGAAGTCGGAAATAAAATCGAAAATGAAACTGAGACCTTCATACTCCAACCAAACTGCTAAAAAAGCTTCCAGGATGTTTTCTTTGTTTAAGTCTAGATGCAAACCCGAGAGCAACTCAAGAAGAGAAAGAGGCCTCAAAATTACGAAGTTAATCATACGCACGGTTCAAAGTAGGCGTTAGGTACTGCATTAGCCCGGTCAAGTTCCTAGAACTTGCATCTCAGTGCCTTGTCATATGACCACAAGTGAAATATGCGTTGGTTTTGGCGGTAGCATAAAAACGAAGTTAGCTATGCGACAGTGTCGTGATATCTTGAAGTCATTGAGCAATGAATAATTAGAAATGTAAGGCGACAAAAAACGAAATCGAAGTAGGCACAGCCGGGAGATGGCAAAAATTGTTTCACCTAGAATATTTGATGCTTTTGAAAAGCGGAAATCCTTCATGAAAAGGTGGAAATGCAAACAGAAAGCACTTCTTAGGATAAGGCACGCTCATTTTTCTGCACACAATAGGGTATAATCTATTTCCTCTCCCCCTCCCTCCCCCTCTCCTTTGACATCTTTCTTTATACCTCGGAAAAAACCGGTTTGTTATTTTGCACTTTAGCTCTTCTTGACGGTAAAAGATTTGCATTTTGACAATGGAATGTCCGGAGCTCAAATCAGATACATTAGTCAACAGCTGATTAGCAAAGTCACTTGCATCTTGCGTCGCCGCTCCACTTTTGTTTACCACTGCTCGATAGTCTTGTAGGTACATCACGCCACTTCGTCGCATAGTTAACTTCTTTTTTTGAGCATAACAAAAACTACCCTTAATCCTTTGCAATCATATGATATGAGTTATCGCGTTGACAGTAGCTCTTGTCAGAAGGTAAAGCAGAGAAAGGAATGCTGCACTAATAATCACTAATCATACGTATAAATACGCAGCTGGAGCGGTAACATGTCACACTGCTAGCCGCTTTCCAACGCCATCCACGACGTATCCATTTGGAATATCTTTTTACTTCGCATTGTTACATACTGCATATTTTCTCGCATCTTTTCTTCAAAACTTGAGATGCAGCTTGCGAGTCAGTATAATCCTTGATAAATAACTGCAAATGAAAGCTATCTGTATTCATAAGGCCCAAGCAGAGGGACCAAAAAGAACGTTTCAATGGGGTCGAAAGATAAAATCCATCCTTCAATCAATAGAAAGTTTGATCTACTTTGCAAAGTTTATGGAGCTTTTCTTGTAAACTTGCAATTTTAAGTGATTGTTACAGTAATGTGCCAGGAATTTAAAGGTCAATCTGAAGCACGCAATCAGCGTTTCCGCAACTTCTATCATAGGCTCGAATAAAAATTCTTCGTTTTGGAAGGAACGTATTGGGAATGAATCGCAAATTGGACAACTATATTATTTCATAGGTCTCACAACGAAGAAGGGGGTATATGAAGTGGCCATCAATGTCATTCACTTATTTATGTGAAGTAGCTAAAGTAGCTTCGCGATGTTGTCTTTTTGGCAAGCTTCGTCATCCTTCATGTTATGACCTTATACATATTGCTCCCCATAAGCCAAAAAAAATTTCGGCAGTAATGACTTCGAACACTTGCAGAATGTCCCTGCTGATTTTCTGCGCTCTCGCCACATTGGGTTTTGCCGCACCTCCTCTTGTGCAGGATCTGAAAGATTACCCATGTGTGGATGGTGTGAATAACGTGGTGACACTTGCTGACATTGACACAGGTAGTTTTGAAACCATCTTGTGATGTGCTATGTTACAAGAGTTGTGAGCTTCAGCGGGCACCACAGTCCATGTTGATGGTGCTGTTGCACACCTGTACGATTTGAATGGCAACCCATCGTGCGAAAAGGGCAAACCGATGGTCGCAATGCCAGGACTGATCAGGCTTGTAAAAGGTGCGCTTAATAATGCATCGCGCATCAGATGGTATATAAAATATGAAACGCACGGAGGTGATGTCATTACTCTAGCTTATTGTCAGGCAAAGTAATTGTCAACGAAGGAACAGATATCAAGAAATCCGGAGTAGCCAAATGGACATTCACAAAGCACAAGCTTATTGGTACTCTGTGCAAGGATGGCGAGAAAGTCAACATACTCATTCCAGACAAGTTCTGGTAAGCGCCATACTGTAATTTTTCTAGGTCACTCCAGTCTCCGTCCCCATATTTTGAGCCATGCAACGCCAGCTGCGATGAAGGCCATTGTCGATAGGCCCTTCGCTATGTTTCTTTCAACATGACATATTGTATTCAGCAAACAAGACATCTATCCACTTATTGGTGACGACTTTGCCAAGATGCTTGCCACTCCAGGGGAATACGACTTGGAAGTGGTGCGTTCGTTCCTTGCGCTTTTTATTACGAATTGGAACTACCTTAAGAGTGTACCTTTTAGCTTCTAAAAACTGCCGGTGTGACCGCTGAGTTTAAGACACCAAAACTCAACACATTTGTCAACGGAATCGTCAGGGTATGCAAATGTTACATACAGCAACGCTTGATTCACTAGAGTGTTTTATTTTAGGGTGAGTGGCAAACTGTGTTGAGGTTTGAATCTGAAGGAAAGACCCTTGCTCACATGAAGGCACCAGCAAATAATGATTGGCTCTTCTTTGAGTAGATTGTAGAGGGTTATGATAGTAAAATGAGCATTGAACAAATTCTGAATTCTTTGACACTACAAACACAGTTTAGTTCCTTCTAAAAATTCTGTTCACGATAAACGAACACATTGGTAAAAAAAGACCTCTATCCACTTAACGCTTCGTTGCTGAAATCGTCATGGAGTAAAAAAAAACTACCATGATGTAGAATGTAGCAACTCAGTTTCGTACAAAAACGAATGAGTAACGAGCCCACTGATGCATAATCAAAGACATCTTAGCGAGTTACACAATAAGACGCAACTTGCGCCTATCGGTTGCTATATACATTTCATTTATCATAGCTCCAAAGCACAGTCCACCATTTTCCAGCAATCGTGGACTAATGCAACGAAGCAAGCCTTAACACGCGAACAGAACGAGTTTCAATATGGCAAGCACAGCCGCTTCACAAAGTGCTATCAATCGATCTTCAACACTTCAAAGCGAATTTTAGGAAAATCGCTGGGTGGGCGGGCAGACCTAAGGCAGAAGCAGAATGGGAAGCAGGGCTCAGCGCAGAGATCGTAGAAACAAGCTAGAATCTCCATAAGTTCTCCTTTCTTCAAACCTTGGCATGTTGACAGTATATTGTTTGACTTTTTCTGTGCCACAACAGATTTTTATCGGAACTCTTTATTGAGCCTTACGTTTCGGCGGAAAAACGCCGTCCTCAGAGGCCTGAAAGCGATTCAGTCACTTCCATCAAACGCTTTATGCGATTAAACGCCTTAGCCAACTCGTACGCTTGATTCGTCTTAAAGGCAGTGTCCGGGCAGGACCTCGATTTTGAGATTTTGTACTTACCCGGGCCTATTCGTTATGCTGAATCCAAAAATCCACATTGGAGAGCGCGAAAACGACGAAAAAGGGCTCTCACACTGGAGGGAAATCAGCAAGTGGGCGGGGTCTTCCCCACTGTGGATTCACGCTTCCAGCTTCCAGAGCAATTTTCTCAAATCCGTTAGCCGCTTGGCCTACAGGGTTTTTCAAAGGCAGTGGCTCGGCAAATCTCAACCTAGTCAAGTTTGCGCTTATCTGGGGTTATTCAATATGCTGATCCCGAAAATCCACTTTTGAAAGCTTGAAAACGGCGAAAATAAGCGTTTTTAATGTCATTCCCTTTGGAATTGGACGAGTGGAGCAAGGCGGGTAGGGGAACGAAAGCCGCCAGTCTGGGCGGCCTCCGCGGTCTACTGGTCCTGAGACGGCATGCAACAGCACTGCGAAAGGACCAGTTGGACGCGGCAGGCAGCTCGAACTGGCGGCTTTCGTTCTCCTATCCGAGAAAGGCCGATGAGCTAAATCGTTGCAGGACCCAATGGTTATAACGTTGCGGCGGGCAGCCTCCAATGGTGAGAGGGGAATTGCCAACTCGTCCAGATGCGTGTAAGATTGGCCTGCGCGTTTAAGTCTGAGAGCGATTTTCTCGGCAGGGAAAGCATGCTTTGCAACCGGGATTGCACTGTTTTCATACTTGGGCTATAAGGACCCTGCCGCGTTAAAATCCTGGGTTGTTGGATTTTGCCGATTCACTGCCTTTAAGTGATCGAAGTCTGGCATCCACGCCGAATTGACTTACCAAGAGTTCTAGAAGAGCACGACAAAAGCTCTTTCGGTCGCCTACAGGATATGGTGACAATGATATGGTGACCAGCCTTAGAGCTGCAAATAGTGAATGGCCCACCCTTTTATCTCCACCTATGAACGGTTGCAATGAGACGCCTACGATTTTATGATGAGATTGACAAACTTTAGAATTCCAACTGTTGTTGTTATTATTTATTCCTAACATACTAAACTCAAGTGAATGTCTGTTTGTCATTTGTCTATGTGTTTGTGTGTATCAACAGAATTGCATCTCTGGACCAGTGCAGATTAAACTTTGCACACTTAGGGGTCGAGCTGGTCTCGTGGACTTTATTTCGTCATCGGTCGACATCGATTTATCGATTTTTTTGCAAACTTTGAGCTACTGGGCTGGGAATTGGTATAATTAGGTGAGTGAGGGTGCTGATTACGGATACAATGTTAGTCATTAAAAACAATTATCTTTACCGACTCTATCGGTTTTTGCAAACTTTGAGCTACGGGCGTAAGAGTTGACATAGGGGGTAAGCAAGCATGCTGTATTAAGATTATCAATCTACAAATGTACATAAACATAATATCTGCAATCAGAGGGATCTGTAACCATTCGCGGTGGTATTTGGACAAAATATGCGATTTTGAAATTTTGAACGAGTTTTATGAGGACGTGAGTTCGTATGCTCACAATTCAGCGATCAATAGAGATAAGGCCTAGTATTAGGGTGATCCAAAAGTAATGGGGCAGCTAGAGAATAAATGCAGTTTTCTCAAATAGAAAAGCTAATTGGAAGTCCAAGTTTTGGCAGATGTTAGTACATAACAAAACCTTCTGATCGAGGTCTATAGTTGGGCACTGTCACATGGCGTTAATTCTATAAGCGCTCAAAACTGAAGCTCACCACTTCAAGTAATTTTGAACTTTGAGCAGCAACGCCGCAGTAAAACAAGTGAGCCTACCAGAGATACGTGCGCAGCAATGGGCGAGGGGACTGTCACCAAATCCACAATAGCTCGGTGGTCCCAAGGCTTTAGAACAGAAGATATAGCATCGGGTATCAGGAGACATATTACTTATTCTTTCATCAAGGTAATCAAATAAGCCCAAACTTAGCAATTGCTTTTTGATAGCGCTTTTTAAGCTCTATCCATACACATGCAAATTACTTTGACTTTTCTCATTTTCAAAAGATTGTGTCCCAAAACATGAATTTTAGCCTGAAAATCTGCGCCAAACACCGCACTTTTTCGAATAAAGTGCCTTTTTTTGTATAAAATAATGTGCAATCTTTAAATATTCAAGTAATCATTAGAAAGAGTTTGGAAAGCTTTTTCGAATGGTATGCCATATGTCGAGGGACTATCAGGTGCAGCGGCCCAAATTCGAATGGCGTTCAAAAAAGTCTGTCTGACTTCTTTGGAGCGCCACTTGAAGAAATGTCGGTGAGGTGCTGCAAGGTGCTGTCAAGATAACCTGCGAAGGTCACTTTATACAAAGGCGTTAAAAATGCTAGGCGTTCTTAACTAATCAGAAAGAAATCTTGAAGAATGTTAAAAAAAATCAAGGTGCCCCATTACTTTTGGATCACCCTAATACAAGCATATTCTGAGAGTACTGTCTCTAATGATTTCGAATTACAAAAAGGGGCAGGTAAGTCGTCCAACAGATACGCGAAAAGGGTAGAAAAATTTGGGAACTTGCGTAGTATCGCAGCATTCCTCTCAGCATACTCTGCTGAAAGAACTCACACGCGCACAAAGAGCACTATTTTCGTAATCACCAAGTCGGAAACCTCTATTGGCGAAATTTCCGGTCAAACTAAGATCATCAATATTTCAGCCAAAACCCGTCGGCAATCTTCACAGCCTAAACGAGAAGAAATCAAAGGGTTCCAATTTCTTGGAAGACTTGCGCATAAAGGTTATCTAGCCTGCTGATCACGAAAAATACACCTGCTTTGCAAATTGGCGTCTTACTGTATGGTTACGGTAGCTAAAATTCGAGATACATCGTTTTTTTTTCAAAATTCACCGGACTATCTTTCTCTATGAAAAAGGAATTCTTTGCTAATCACTAGTACATGATAATCTACGGAAACAGCTCTACCGAATCATGCTTACATGGATTTTCCAGGTGTGTTTTTCGCTGAGTACATCATACGAAAACCCTTCCTTACGTAAAAATCGAACAGACTGAAAACGGTATAGGAAGGAGAGTGCGGTATATTAGAAGATTCATCTCGACGAGTTGAACATCACTATTTCTTCGGATTCGTATTTTATGCAATCTGAAGGAAATTGTGAAGAAATAACGAAAATACGCGGATCGTCAGTTTTTGCGTTTTCTGTCGAATAATTAGTGTGGGTACTGTACCTTCAATACAGTGCACGCAATATCCATTTTGCGCGTATCCATAATGTTTTGGCGCCCGTTCGCATACATATTCCATACAATGTTCATTGACTGTATCTTCCTATACGTGAAAAGAACAAGAAAGAACAATTGAAGCTTCACGATACTCTTGTACGCTGGTACAAACCATAGCGAACACAAGATTAGGCATTATATCGTTCAGAGATAATACGTGCTGCAAATGAGCAAAATAATCAGTGTGTTGCGGTTTGAATATTTTATCAATTAGGCATCTATTGCCGAAAATCGCATTTTCCTAACGATAAGTAGGCATTACAGCCATTATCACAAACTGTTGTTATAGTATTTACATACAAGAAGAAAACAATTGCATTTAAAAAATATTACCAGACCTGCACAAGAACTTCATCGTATCTTTTCACGAAAATTATCTTCTAACTGGAGTGGTATCATTTCTTTTCTTCAAAAGTATCCAATTGGTAGTAATTATATTATCATACTATAGCGGCAGAATTGTCTTTAATGGTATTTAGTATTTAGTACATATCTGTAATTAAGACTATTGTTTCAAATTCTACAATTGAGCAACTGTACCTAAGACTTCGTCGTGTACTACGATGTCTCAAAAGCTTTTCAGCTTCTGGAACAATCAAAAGTTCACTTTTCAAGTCTGCAATTTAATTCTGATCTATGCAGTCTTTGCGTTATTATCGTCATGACTCTTTGAGCATTCCAACAGTGTCGCCAAATTTACCATAATTTACGGATGATTTATTCTTGGTATTTTTGAAGAGTGTAACCTTCATATAGAGAACTACAGTAGAGTAGATTTTCCGCTTGATAAAGTGTGCTTGCACTGTAGTTGAAATGCGGTAAAATCTGCGCGTAAACAATTAGCCACTCCAGTCATGCCAGCATTCTGCGCGCGCCACTGGAAAGCGCCAAAGGCGTAGCTATTCCTTCACGGGCAAATTTTACCGCATTTTACCTACAGTGCCTACGATGTCTCAAAAGCACACTATATTAAGTGGAAAATCTATTCGATTGT